CGGTAACTTCATATATGCGAGCAGGACCATTCTGCTCCTGAAGGACGATGGCACCCTGAAGCCCCTGGCGATCGAGCTGAGCCTGCCGCACCCCGATGGCCAGCAGCACGGCGCCGTCAGCAAGGTGTACACTCCAGCCAACACCGGCGTCGAGAGCCAAATCTGGCAGCTCGCCAAGGCTTACGCCTCCGTCAACGACTCTGCTTGGCACCAGCTGATCAGCCACTGGTACAGAGCCAGCCTCCTCTGTTTCGTTTTCTGTGTTGGAGTATGAAAAGGAGGCTCATGATGTTTTTGCATGTTGCTGCTGCAGGCTGAACACTCACGCCGTGATCGAGCCGTTCGTGATCGCGACGAACCGGCAGCTCAGCGTGGTGCACCCCGTGCACAAGCTGCTGAGCCCGCACTACCGCGACACGATGAACATCAACGCTCTGGCACGGCAGACACTCATCAACGCCGATGGCATCTTCGAGAAGACCGTCTTCCCAGGCAAGTACGCGCTCGAGATGTCCTCCGTCGTGTACAAGAACTGGAAGTTCACCGAGCAGGCTCTCCCCGTCGATCTCGTCAAGAGGTAAAACCAAAATGAATGACATCTTGCAAAGCTCTGGCTGATCAGAACACGGCAAGAACAACGATGTGACCAGGATGGGTTTTGCTTTTGTGTGTGCAGAGGGGTGGCCGTGCCGGACCCGACGAGCCCGTACAACGTCCGGCTGCTGATCAAGGACTACCCGTACGCCGTGGACGGGCTGGTGATCTGGTGGGCGATCGAGCGGTGGGTGGGCGAGTACCTGGCCATCTACTACCCCAACGACGGCGTGCTCCGCGGCGACGAGGAGCTGCAGGCGTGGTGGAAGGAGGTGCGCGAGGTCGGCCATGGCGACCTCAAGGACCAGGACTGGTGGCCCAAGATGGACACCGTCCAGGAGCTCACCCGGGCGTGCACCATCATCATCTGGATCGCGTCGGCGCTGCACGCGGCGGTCAACTTCGGCCAGTACCCGTACGCGGGGTTCCTCCCGAACCGGCCGACGGTGAGCCGGCGGCCGATGCCGGAGCCGGGCACCGAGGAGTACGCGAAGCTGGAGCGCGGCGGTGACGAGGCCGACCTGGTGTTCATCCACACAATCACCAGCCAGTTCCAGACCATCCTCGGCATCTCGCTCATCGAGATCCTGTCCAAGCACTCCTCCGACGAGGTCTACCTCGGCCAACGCGACACGCCGGAGTGGACGTCGGACGCCAAGGCGCTGGACGCGTTCAAGAGGTTCGGCAGCCGGCTGGTGGATATCGAGAACCGGATCAAGGACATGAACGGCAACTCGGCGCTCAAGAACCGGAACGGGCCGGTGAAGATGCCGTACATGCTGCTGTACCCCAACACGTCGGATGTCACCAAGGAGAAGGGCCAAGGGCTCACCGCCATGGGCATCCCCAACAGCATCTCCATCTGAGTCTCGCGTGCATTCTTTAGATCGATATACGTGTGCTATTGCTAGTGTTGCGCGTTTGCCGTCGTCGATTTGTTTCATTGTTTGTATCAGTGTGCATTACCGTGATTCTTCGTAGTTCAGGGTCTCAGGGATAAGTCGTTGCAAATGTGAGTAACCTTGAGGCATGGATAATTTCATTAGGAATTATTCACATGGAATAATGAAAGTTAATAAAATCATTTTGCTTTCAGAGTTTGTTTCAACTTTTATGATCCATATATTCCCAAATAGCGAAACAACGTCGTTTTAGAATGCACAATTGAGCTTTTTTATCATTCTTGAGGGTGAGAGGTACCAAAATCCCATCCATTCATTGAGCCAGATCCAAGGGTTGACAAGATTTAGTATCAGGAGGTACAAGTTTCATGTGCGCACGGTACCTCCTCGCAGTCCGCATGCAATACTTGAGCGGAAGGGAAAAATTGTATTTTAGCATTCACATTCGTTCATTCTAGTGGATAGGAGCGTCTGCGTCTCCAGCGGTCCAGCCCAAACAAGCAAAGCAACCTTCTCAATCCCGACCTCGGCGGGAGTGACGACGACGTCAGGTCGGCCTCCTTCCTACACGGTGGCTGCGTGGAGCTGGATCGATTACTGCGGTTGCGTAGTGTGAAGGCTGGTTGATTACTGCCGCGGCGCCTTTCCGCATCTCAGTGGTCCAATGCAGCGCTTGCCACTGCATCCAACAAGAGGAGAGCGGCGAGGAACGGCGCGGCATGGCGTTGAAGGGGAGGAAGCTAGGACGCATAGCGCAGCCGGCCAGAGCAAGGAAGGGGAGAGATTTGTGGCAGCTGCGGTGCAGATAGAGATTAGCAGCCGAGCAGGTTGCAAGTCGCCGGTGCGACAAGGTGATGGGAGAAGAGACACGGACCTATGCTGTGGATAAGAGTTCTCTCTCTCTCTCTCTCGTTTTTTCATCTGGTCCATCCTCACCCTGCTAAATGAACGATTGGATTTGATCCAGTACCTCCCATTACTAGTACCTCAAGGTACTATTTCAAGGGTGGTAAAAAAGCTCTACTAAATTTGTCACAAAAGATACTTTCACGCGGCTATATATTCAATATTGAAAATCAATCTTCTCTTCTACCTTACCTCTATCCTAGTCCAACAGTAAATTGTCCTTGATTAATGGGAAATTTTCAGATGGGGGAAACTCTTATCTTGACAACGAGATACTTAATGACAGACCATCTCATCTTCCCCCGTCTACTCCCTCCAGTCGTTCCCCTCCTGTGCTCCCCTTCTTCTTCTCCCTCCTTAGCCATAGATACTTAGATACTCTCTCCGTTTCACAATGTAAGTCATTCTAACATTTCCCACATTCATGTTGATGTTAATGAATCTAGACATATATATCTATATAGATTATTAACATCAATATGAATGTGGTAAATGCTAGAATGACTTACATTGTGAAACGGATAAAGTATTTGATACTCCCTCCGTACTCGTAAAGGAAGTCGTTTAGGACAATGTTTAAGTCAAACCTTGGGAATATAAATCATGAATAACTCTCAAGTTGTTTAGTTTGAAAATGTAAAAATTATATGAATAGATTTGTCTTGAAAAATACTTTCATAAAAGTATACATATATCACTTTTCAATGAATATTTTTATATAAATAAGAAGTCAAAGTTGTGTTTTGGAGACCGTGTCGATATCCTAAACGACTTCCTTTATGAGTATGGAGGGAGTATGTGAATAGGCATGGTGGTAATGGGACATGCCACCAGCATTAAATCTAAAGGCCTAAAGTCTGAGCGCACATGGTGGTAATGGGACATGCCACCAGCATTAAACCTAAAGGCCTAAAGTCTAAGCGCACATTGATGACAAGGACGATGAACGTCACTGGACCCATGGCCTCCTCAACTCCCCGTCCTCCGTCTCATGCTTAAGGCATGACGATGTGCACCGGATTTGACTCTCATGCAGAAAAGAGGCAAACAAGGAGAATTGATACCGACCGGCACGAATTCCTCCTCCCATAAATTGTCATTGGTGATGGAAAAGGAGACCATGAGGCTGCTATATATGGAGCTTTGATTGGCACCTAACATGGTGAAGCGATCATGTTTCTCACCCACCTTATGTGTAGGTACGTCATATGACACATCATCTGGTTAGTACCCATAGGTAACAACTAGTGTTGTTGCTTATAACACCGTGTCCTAGCACCTAGCCATCAACATCGATATTGACCGTTGCCACGATCTCCTCCTAGTGATGTTATCGTGCTTCATTGTTGACGGGTGGCTTTGCTCAGGGGCGTCCTTAGGCCCATGCGGGCTGTGCGACCGAACAGGGCCCCCAAATTTCAAGGGCCCTAAAATATTAAGTATACCCAATATATAATAATATTAAATGCTTCAATTTTAGTAAAACTAAGCCCCCAAAACAATGCAAAAGGTGAATGATCCATTTTCCAATTTCCATCGTACAGTCGTCCGTGTCGTCGAAGTCCCAACGCCACGTCGCTTCGTCTCCTCTCCTCAGTTACTAGGCCACTAGGATCCATTTTAATATTTCGCACGGGGACCCAATTTGTCCGGGATGCCCCTGGCTTTGCTCATGACAAAGACACGAGTGTGTGTCGTGGGCGTGGGATGCTGCCAAACTCACGAGGAGGAGGCACCATAATCCTGCGACCTAGCATGGGCTGCTGCCGACTGATTTTCTCGTGTCGTCTCGTCTGCAAGCTCATCCTGGTGGGAGCACAGCACAGCAGAGAGCTAGACGAACTCACAACCCCAGGTGAACGTGGTCAAGTTGCTCAACATACACGTGCAAAGCTACTTTAGCTCCTAGAGGTTTTGCATGGGTTTAAGGGTGCCTCTCCTACGCACGACGACGACGAAAACAGGAAAGGGTGGGTGGGCACGCTTTTGCAGCTGAACTCCCCGAGATAGAGCGGTTTGATGGAACCCGAGAGACAAAGGAGACAACGGCGTGTGTTTGGTTAATTCGGCAGCATCTTCGGCACGGGACCAGGCGTAGTATCGCGTATATGCCCTCGTCTCGACTCCGCCGTAATCTGATTCGGCCGCGGTCTTCTTCTGGAGAATATTATGCTTGCTCATTTTATGCTGTGTTTAGTTGGTGAAAAGAAAATTTTTAAGTGTCACATTAAACTTTTGATTGGATGTTAAAATGAGTTCTCAGACACGATTAAAAAACTAATTTCATAACTTGGTTGGAAACCGCGAGATGAATTTATTAAGTCTAATTAATCTTTCATTAGCACATATATGTTACTGTAGCACTTATGATTAATCATGGATTAATTAAACTCAAAATATTCGTATCGCGATTTTCATACAAACTGTATAATTAATTTTTTTTAATTTATATTTAATGCTTATATATGTGTCTAAAATTTGATGGGAATTTTTTGAGAAAAAAAGTTTAGGGAACTAAGGTGTCCCTCCTTTCCAAACACCACCTAAACAGGCCTTTACAATCTACAAAAAAGGCACGGGCATAGCACGAGCTTTGCCCTTTTTTCTCGCGCTCGCACATCCTCTCTTTCCACAGTTCCACTAAAAAAATCCACTTCACCTAGCAGCCGCTCTCACCTCCACGCGCTCTCCGCCACCGGAGCACGAGCGCGACTGCCACCACCTCCACCGGATTCATCTCCGCCTCTTGCCGCGGCAAAGCCCCCCCAGCTTGGATTCCTCTGTTTTTTTTTCCTTTTTGCGTACGAATCTCTTGTATATCCCTCTCCTGTATGTTGCGAGAAATCAATCTAGTCCGAATGGTGTGCTCCTGCGTGCTGGAGTAGTCTAGGTATACCAGTTTTGTTCTCCAAAGCATTTGGGATTGGGTTGAATGGAACATCTATGGTCCACGCTAGGTCCGCCCCTGGCTGTGATGGATGGAGCTTAGAGCAGGGGCAACCTAGATCAGGGGTGTCTCCCTGGGGGGTTTTCATGGTGCTGTGGATGTTCACTAGCTTTGGAGGGTTTGATTAGGGCCTCTTGGGTCATAACAGGAGGGTTTTAAGGGACCTGGATTTGGTAAAGCATTTTTCAGGCATGTGATGCTTCTTGGGGAGGATTTCATGGTGTTGTGGATGTTCACCAGCTTTGGAGGGTTTGATTAGGGCTGCTTGGGTCACAACAGGAGGGCTTTAGGGATCTGAATTTGGTAGTCATTTCAGGCATGTGATGCTTCTTGGGGAGGATTTCATGGTGTTGTGGATGGATGTCCCCCAGGTTTGGATGGTTAGACTTCTTCGATCACCACAAGAGCTTTGAAGAGACCTGAGTGGATAAGCATTTGATCCTTCTTGGAGGTGTTTCATGGTGTTCTAGATGTTCACCAGCTTCGGAGGGTTTGATTAGACTGCTTGAGTTAACAGTGTTCAAGGGACTGAATTTGATAAGCATGTCGGGCATTTGATCCAGTGGTGTGGATTCGTATCCATCTTTTGTTGTTATAAGATTTGCTGCCACAAAAAATGGAAGGTGTGCACGGTATAGAATCTCTGGCTACTGGAGATGGTTGGCATCATCTTTCCCGTACCCTTGGACCGGTGCTCCTGATCTCGATGGGGTATATTGACCTTGGGAAGTGGGTGGAAACGATAGATGCCGGGTCTCGGTTTGGCTATGATCTCGTAATACTGGTGTTGCTTTTCAACTTGTCGGCCATTCTGTGCCAGTATCTGTCGATGTGTATCGGCATGGTCACTGGGAAAAATCTTGCGGAGGTACCACTTTGCTGACATCTGTCGTCACCTACTCACATTTCTTCAGTTTAGCTCAATGAATGGCTGTACCTTTTTTTCCTAAGTGGAAGTATTTAGTGTTACTCAGATAGCATCAACCACATAAAAAATAGTGGGGGAGTTCTTCAATTTTTCCTCCTTTTTTTTTCTTTAGGGGGGTGGTTGATATTTCATATTCGTCATCTATCATTTTCTTCGAGAGCTGTTAACTTTTGTAACAATATTACATGAACGGAAGATTTGCCGCGAGGAGTACAGTCCATCAATATGTGTCATCCTTGGTATTCAGGCAGGATTGTCCTTGCTAACCGCGGAACTAACCATGGTATGTTCATACACTTTAGACAAGCTTTCCTCTCTCTTTTTTTTTTTTGTTAATTCTTTGTTCTAGAGTTAATTTACCAATGTTATGCATAGTTGACCTATAGGAGCATTCACTACCAGAGAATTCAGGTTTTTGCCAGCTTTCAAACTTTTAATACTTGGTTATTTCAGCTTTCAGGCATATCAGTCGGATTCAACCTGGTCTTTGAATATGATGATCCTATCGCAGGCTTATATTTTGCTAGTGTTGTGGTCAATTTGCTACCTTACACTATGTCTTATCTGGTAAGCTTATGATTGATCTCAGAATATCTGCAGTTCTGCACCACTAAGAGCAACTCTAAGACGTTATGCCTTTACTTTATTCTAGGGCAAACGGATGGCTGGGACATTGAATGCATGCGTAGCAGGCTTTGCACTTCTTTGTTTTGTGCTTGGTTTATTAGTCAGTCAACCAAAAATTCCAGTTGATATGAATGCAATGTTCCCCAAGTTGAGTGGTGAAAGTGCTTATTCCTTGATGGCGCTTCTTGGCGGAAATGTAATAGCGCACAATTTTTATGTTCATTCATCAGTTGTACAGGCAAGCTCCATTTCCTTATGCTGATGCTTAAGTAAATGCTGAGATAGTGGCTTTTGTTGAACTTGTACTCCACCCATAAGTTATATATATGAGTAAATACTTCTTTAACTTGTATAACTATTCTGATCAGTCCATGAATTCTGAGGACAGTTCATTACTTGCCAATTTTTGGAAAAATGGTAGAACCTATTTTGTCCCTCATTTTTTAAAAAAATTTCCCACACTTGGCATTATAGTTTAAGGTTGGGCTGTTCAATCCAGGTTTTGAATGGACTGTTCAAAACCGGGCAATGTCAATCTTGCTGGCCATGAAGCTAATCACATAACTGAGCCTGCTGATTTCTGGTTTGCACAGGTTGACTTGACCCCAGGCTGTAGTTTAAAGTAACCGGTTTTCCTAAGTTGTGTTTTCTAATACATGATTGGTATTAGTTTTGAAATCTGCAAGGAAGCTAATTCTGGTTCATGCTAAGCCATGCAAGCATAATCCTGCAACTTTGTGGTGTGATAATAGAAACTGGTGTGTGGGTTGGCAAACCAGAATCATGCATCCTATGCTAAGATGTGCAAGCATAATCCTGCAACTTTGTAGTACATTCTTTCCATATTAAGAAAAGAGTAAGAAAAATATGCATAGATTGATCCAAATGCTTGATTTGTTCTTTTGCTCATGAAAAATTTCTTGCAATTTTCTCTAAGCAAATGATGATCACTAAACCTGCATTTTAAATTTATATGCCTTTTCTACAATCAACTAATAGAAAGTCAGGGGATCCAATACAGTTTTTTGTTTCTGAAGCTTAAACTTGTCATAAAACGTGTAAGTCGGTTCTACTGTACCTTTGACATTTGTGCTCTCCGTGCCATGCAGTTTTCGTAAACCCACACCATTTTCCTTTTTTATTTTTTACCTTTTGTTCTATCTGCTATGCCATGTTTTTGTTAATTCAGAAATCATTTGTGCAGGGCCAAAGACAATCTACAACTCTTTCCCTTGGTGCTCTGTTCCACGATCACCTGTTCTCAATATTGTTTATTTTCACTGGGGTTTTCCTTGTGAATTATGTCCTGATGGGCTCAGCAGCAGTTGAATCCAATAATACTCTGGTTACTTTTCAAGATTCTGTAGATTTAATGAACCAGGTTTTTGCCTCCAGTTTGCATTCTGCTTGTTTTGAGTATGAATTCTGCACCATAGTTCCTTCATGAGTTCCTCTGAATGCCTTCTGCAGATGTTCATGAATCCGATGGCACCAATTGTTTTTTTAGTGATCCTTATCTTTTCGAGTCATGTCATCTCATTGACATCTATTATTGGCAGCCACGCAATTTTGAAGAATTTCTTTGGTGTAAACTTGCCTCATTCTGCTCATCATCTGCTACTAAAGGCCGTTGCCATGGTTCCTACTATGTACTATGCAAAGGTTGCAGGTTCTGAAGGGATATATCAGTTACTCATTATCTGCCCAGTTATCCAAGCTATGTTCCTTCCTTCATCTGTTATTCCTGTTTTCCGTGTTTCCTCATCAAGAGTTATAATGAGCAGATATAAAATATCTTTGTACGTTGAAATATTGGCCATCCTAGCATTTCTTCTTTTGCTGTTCACAAATATCATTTTTGCTGCGGAAATCCTGTTTGGTGATAGTACCTGGACAAACAACTTGAAAGGGAACACTGGAAGCCCTGTTGTACTTCCGCATGCCATTGTAGTTCTAATTTCTTGTGCATCAATTACTTTTACGCTGTTCCTGGCTGTCACTCCACTGAAGTCAGCAAGTAATGAACCTGAAACTCAGGAGCTATCTGAGCACTCTCAGAGAGAAGATCCAGATACTACTTATCAAAGAGAAGCAAGTAATGAACCTGAAACTCAGGAGCTATCTGAGCACTCTCAGAGAGAAGATCCAGATACTACTTATCAAATAGAAGTAAGTAATGAACGTGAAACTCAGCAGCTATCTGAGCACTCTCAGATAGAAGATCCAGATACTTTTTATCATAGAGAGGAGCTTTCTCTGGTTGAACAGAAAGAAGATCATACGACTTCTACTATTAATGCTATTCCCAGGATTTCATCAGAAAGTTATCAAACATCAGCTTTGGAGCATAATGACTTTCCTGACATCACTGTGGAGTCTGGTCATGGCACTCAGCAGCTTACTGCTTTTGTGCCAATTATTCCGGAGGTCTCATCGTCTATCAAACATAAGGAACCAAAATCAGTAGTTATTGACCAGACGGAACCAGTGCCAAAGGTTTGTACTGCCACAGTAGTAGAACATAACACTGCTGAGAACATCAAAATGAAGAGTACAACTTCAAAGCATGTCCAAGAAGAAGCAGGAGCTAGCATGGACTATGATACTGAGGCTTCTTATAATGCGGAAGTCAGCAAGTCTTCTGGAAACAAGGCACCTCCAATTTCTGATGACCCAACATCTCTTACTTTGAGCAAGGGGAGAGACTCTGATGCTGGTTATCGTGGCAGTAACCTCTCAAGACTGCCTGGTTTGGGTCGTGCAGCAAGGAGGCAATTAGCAGCGATTCTTGATGAGTTCTGGGGACATCTCTTTGATTATCATGGTAAGCTAACGCAAGAAGCTAATGCAGGAAGGTTCAACTTTCTGCTAGGACCATACCCGAAAGCAGTTAGAAGTGATAACCAAGCCATCGAAGCTTCTAGGAGCCCCTTGATGAGAGATGCAATACGAGGATCAGCTACCATACAGAAATCATGGGACTCACGTGCTAAGGAAGTCTCTAGTCCAGGCTTTAATTTTGTGCTTCAGATGGGTCGCATTGGATCATCAAACTGGTCTGAGAGCATGCGTTTATCTAATGCTGACATCCCAAGGCCAACTAGCACCTTGTTTGAACAAAATACTCAGTTTTATTCAAATTATAATGTCCCATCTTACCCTGACAATCAGTTCTATCAACCTGCTACCATTCATGGCTATCACCTGGCAACCTCTTTGAAAAGTATGAATGCAAGTCACAGCACGCACTCCAGCATTTCACTAGATCCACGGCGACTTCCTAGATCATCTGAATCTGCTGGTTCTAACTACGCAGATTCTGCAAGGTATGCTCGTAACCAAGATGTAATTGGTTCACAGGGAACCGCTTCGCAAAACACAACAATGAGCTGTTTAGATACAATGACAGTGGAGAGAGCTTTTTACAATCCTGCCTCTGTTAATGAGATTGAAGGGGTTGGTTCATCTGCTTACTCAAAGAAGTACCATAGTTCACCTGACATATCTGCACTAATTGCTGCAAGTAGGAATTATTTGCCAAATGAAGTAAATTTGGGAGGTGCTGCTGGAAGCAGTTCATACTTCAGTAATTTGGCATGTGAAAGATCACAATATGTGAACTTGGGATCCAGTTCCACAGCTCAATTTGCACTTAGCAAGCACTCACAACCTAATTTCCATAGAGACACATCATCTATGCAGTCAAGTGTGAACCCAAGTACTGAATCCATTTGGGCCCAGCAGCCGTTTGAACAATTACTCGGTGTATCAAGAGCAGAGTTGAATAAGGGCGAGGGTAACACCGACCAGAGATCAAGTGGTGTCACCAAACACGATTTCTCTAACAAAGAATATGAGGTGAAACTTCTTCAATCACTCAGATTTTGCATCATGAAGCTCTTGAAACTGGAAGGATCAGGATGGCTCTTTGAGCAAAATGGTGGCTGTGATGAAAAATTAATTGATCAAGTTGCTGTAGCTGAGAGAGTTTCACAACATACCACTGAAAATCAGTTATCTGCTGATCTCCAGCTCCATAGTTCTGATGAAGACTTGCAGCCACTGCAAAGGAATGATAACAGGGATGCCAATTGCATGAGCCTACTGCCCAAGTGTGGAGATGATTGTGTTTGGCAGGCCCCCCTGATTGTCAGTTTTGGTGTTTGGTGCATCCGCCAGATTCTGAACCTGTGCCTTGTCGAAAGTAGGCCAGAACTTTGGGGCAAGTATACATATGTTCTTAATCGTCTCCAGGTATTTTTTTTTCTATTGCTGTCTATTTTGGGCAAACTGCAATATGGAGGGTAACCCAGGGATGCAGATCATCAATGGTTGCTTCCTGCATGTAGCATACATACTATATAGGCTATTTTGGCATTGTTGTGAATTATGCTTCCTACATATAGCATACAAACTAGTACTATATAGGCTATTTTGGTATTGTTGTGGATTACGATAATCTTTATTCGTATGATGGCTTTAAGATATTTCGGTTTTTTATTACCTGTTTTTGCCTAAATCAAATTGACAAAGATATATTTCAGTAAAAAAGAGAGAGAGATTGATTTCCCAATAATAGTAGAAGTGGATGGATATGGGAGAACGGCAACAGCTTGATAACCAAATTTGACACTCTCTCTGATTTTTCAATGGATTGTGAAAATACTCCATATAGCAATCCTATTTTCCATAGGAACTTTAAAAATAAGCACTGTCAGCACACATAACAACTGCAAACTAACCATATACTTGCTATGGTGGCTGGGAATATTTCGTGATGTATGAAAGTATGAAACACTGCAATAGATGGCATTCATTTATATAAATTTAAAATATAGTTGTTTGCAGAGAACTTTGTTTTGTATGACTACTATCATTTTCTTCGCCTGTAGATGAATCCTGCAACTTGTAAGTGCATTTTGTCCTACTCTGTGCTTTTAACCATAAGATAAACCTTAATCAGAAATCCCAACTACTGATTTCCTTCAGAAGTGCATAAAAACTTGTGAGTGGGTTCGGTTGCATTGAGAAATTGACTTCTAATGCGACTTGCATGCAGCAGAACTGCCCAAACTTCTGCCACACTGTTTGGACTTCAAGTTTGCTAATTTTCTTTTTCATTTACTTGCTAGGGAATACTTGATCCTGCATTTTCCAAGCCTCAGAAACCCATGAAAGGATGCGTATGCCTTCAAAAAGTTGCCAAGCCCATCTCTGGTACTTTCACCACTGCTGGTATGATCTTGGAGATGATTAAAGACGTGGAACAAGCCATTTCTAGCCGCAAGGGCCGAAGCGGCACAGCAGCAGGAGACGTTGCTTTTCCCAAAGGGAAGGAGAACCTAGCTTCTGTCCTTAAGCGATACAAGCGTAGGCTCTCGAACAAGACATCTGCAGGACAATAGCGTGGCAGCGAGCTTTCTTTTGTTTCTTGTTTGTATAGGGTTCTTGGGGCTGCTCCACAAAGTTCTGTTTTTTTGTGCTCCTCAAACCTTGGGTTTTTTCGATGCACACGATCTCCAGAGTGCCTGAGAGCTTCTTGATCTTTGGTCATTTTTGCACATGTTGTTTATGAAGTGGCCAAGGGTGAATGGTATACCTTGTTTATTCATCTTATCAGCGAGATCTCAACAGTAGATGATATTTGCTGGAGCAGCAACATTGTAAAGTTCTTTTTCCAGATGAACATTCTGAAGTCCGCTGGCTTGGCTTTCTGAAATCTCCACTAGACTCGTTGTTCCTTTCGGCTTTCGCTGTTAGGTTGTTACTGAGAATTTTCTGTTGGTCAGCTAAGCTTGAGTTCTGGTCCTTCTGGACTAGACACAGTGGCACACGATGCAGCGGATACCCATGTGCACGGCTTATGTCCACTTGTCTGATGTTAATTTTTCATCGTGCTTGCTTGTTACTGTAGTTGTTACTGCCTTACTGGTATCATCCAGGAGTCATATTTTCGTTGTTTGCATCTCTATAACCTTTTCCAGGGAAATGCATTGTTGCAGTCTTTCTGAACATATACTTGATGAATTCTTGAGTTTCCATGTACTACGATTTATTGACTGTAATTGGATGGATCCTGATCAGCTAGGAAAAGCTCAGGATCAGCAGAGAGTACAGTGGACGGTTCACTGTACAGTACACACGATCTATCTCGCTTTCGACAGGCAGGATTGGTCAGGGTCCATAAAATTCAGGCTTCTGTGCAGCTGAGCTATAGTGTCTTGGACAAGGGCCCCCACATTTGCATCATTGCACGTGCCACAATCAATACCCCCAGGCTTTGCTAAAGATGCTTTCAAGGATGCACCAACTTGGGGGCGAAGATACACGGTCATGTACGCTGGCGATTTTTGCACGTCGCACGCACCGACCGGTAGAAGATGCAAGGATAGGACCAAAGATCATCGGAATTGTGAACCGTTGTTGCAACTTTTCTGAATTACCCGGTAAAGGTTGTAAAAAAAAGCTACTTTTGATTATGTTTCCACAAATACAAATTGTATTTTGTGTACAACTATTGCTTATGCTTTCATAATTACAGTTTTATATTTTATACGCGACTATATTTATTAATCTTCACCATTATAACCTAGATCCATAGTGATGGAACATTTTTTTTCTTTAATTAATATGGTTTTTTCTCACATAATATAATAAATAGACCGTCGCACCAAATAAATATACTTTTTATGTGAATTGAGTGTAGCTTAACCGGTTAAACTTCTAGTTCTACCCTTGACACATGTATTTATATTTACGGTTAATTATTCATTCAATGATAGATAACATACCCGTCAGTAGTGAGCCGTCTATGGCGACTTTGTGAATCTTAAAATATATCGGTACAATCTTCGAAATTGCTCATAGGGATAGGGTGCGTATGTACACTTTCACAAGGATGAGCTGCGCGTATATGGGTGTTTGCATCTGTACTGTGTTTTTTTTAAAAAAAAACTTTTAATCAAGGGTTAATTAGATCCATGCCACTGCAAATGTGGCAAATCAAAAAAATGCCACACATATTCGCATTATCGGCTGGATGCCACTTCAAATTTTTAAAATTGAAACCATGCCACTCCCGTCCCTTTTTATGTCTCCTCTCAAACGCCGTCCCCGTTTCCGTCTCCCTCTTCGTTCTCCCTTCTTCTGCCCGGCGTCGAGCACGGCAAGGTCGGCGGCGGCGGCACAGCAAGGACGGTGGCGGCGGTGCCCGTCCATCTCGCCTCTCTCCCGCTGTCCATCTTCTCCTCCCTCCCGCCGTCCATCTCCATCACCGCGCTCCCGGCGCTCCTGGAGGTGTCCCTCGACGACCTCCCCCCCGACGCGTATCCTCACCGTCATCCGCCACGCGCTCCCTCCACTTCCCCGCGGGCGTCACCGTCTTCCTCTCCGACCTCCTCAGCCCGCGGGCGCTCACCGGTAGCCAGGCTTTAGAAGCGGCGGCAACGACGACAGCCCACCGCGACACAGCGGGCACCTCCTCAACCTTCACAACCACCTGCTCCCTGCGCCGCCCTCTTTCTCCTCCACCGCCGTCCAGACCACGGCACCACTGTGCTCCGCCTGGTCGGCGCGTCGTTGCCCCTGCCGTCGTCATCAATGAAGGAGGCGGCGCAAGGTCGTCATCAACGAAGGAGGCCACCGCCATCCTTGCTGTGCCGCCGTGTTCGACGCCGGGCGGAAGAAGGGAGAACGAAGAGGGAGACGGAAACAGGGACGACGTTTGAGAGGAGACAGAAAAAGAGACGTGAGTGCCATGGTTTCAATTTTAAAAATTTGCAGTGGCATCCAGCCGATAAAGCGAATATGTGTGGCATTTTTTTATTTGCCACATTTGCAGTGGCATGGATCCAATTAACCCTTTAATCAATGACTAATTAGAAAACAGTATCCCCATCTATAATATATAATAGGACTAGGATACAACTTGTATCCTCTGAGTGTATACTTAGTTGACACCTAATATTTGGTAACCATATATATCATTTTAAAAAGAAGAATTATAGTGTTTGCTCTACCACCCTTGATCACATCTAGGCGATGATGCTCTATAGGGATGATTTCAAGGGCGGATCCAAAAAATGTATAGAGGGAGGGTTTATCTCCTTTCTCCTCCAATCCCCCTGCTCTTCCTTCTCTCCCTCTTCTTCCCCCTCCCACCCCCCTTTCTTAATGGTGATCCAGCGGGATAGAGGGACTTGAGTCCTCCAGCACCCACGTTGGATCTGTTCCTGGGTAGTGTTTTGTCCGTCACCAAACATTGCTACATTACAGTTTTAACATATCACAGTGTGTTAGCTATATGTTTGCTTTATTGTCACACTTATGACATTGCAACTCGATTTTTAGGCTAGTTGTGCCACACAGAACGTACTTTTATGTTTTTTTTTCACAGTTTATCTAATTTCAGTTGTGGCAAGACGCCAACCAAACATCCAAGAAGAATTCACCACGTTTGTGCGGACATCAGGCACGGCGTCCTGAAAGGACGGCCTGAATTGTTCATCACCGGGAGGCAAGGACGATGATGCGGCTTGCTGGTAGGCATTGGTTGTGTGCCCCTGCTGTTGCCTGTTACTCCTCATAGCCTGTCGGTACTATTGCACTGGGCACTGGCTGCTAGTCTGCTACAGTGCGGCACGATCTCCTCCCCGATCTTAGCTACAGTAATTACCCATGAAACATTGATATCTCGTACAAGTCTGCCCCAAAACAGCCGGTTCATCATTATGGGTGCCTTTTCTGTCCATCCATGTTTAGAAGAGTCCTGCATATGAATCAATATCATCCCACTTCCAAAAACAAACACATGTTTTATAGTTATTTTATATATTTAAGAGCGGAGTGTATATTCGGTCCTAAGCTTGTATGGGTGTATCATCGAGACCCCTAAACATTTTCAAGTTTCTATATTGATCTTCGACATCATATAGGTCCAAACATGTTCCAATTTGCTTTGTACATTGACATGGCATGCAACAATATTTTCTACGTATTAGTGTGACCCACGTAACATTCATATAGGAAAAAAAACATATTTTCTTCTCTCTACCTTAAAATTTTTAAAAATGATTTTTTATTTTCTTTGTCTTTTCTCCTCTCTATCTAACATGAGAAAATATGTTTTTAAATTTTATTTTTATTTTAGTGGGTCCTACTAATACGTAGGCGCCACCGTGGCATGTCATGTCAACACTAAGGATATGTTTGGTAGCAAGTTTTCCCAACTCATCTTTCTCGTGTTCCGCGCGTACGCTTTTCAAACTGCTAAACAGTACATTTTTTACAAAAAGTTTTTATACGAAAGTTGCTTAGAAAAACTACATTGATCCATTTTTGAAGAAAAAATAGCTAATACTTAATTAATCGTGTGTTAATGGACCGCTCCGTTTTCCGTGCACAGAATACTTGTTCCCAACTAATCCTAATGAACACAGCCTAAGAGCGGGTTGATGCCCGTTTAGATCTATATGGCACTAAGACAAATTCAAAGACACGAACATGTGTTTTGAGAATTTGAGAATTTAGGGTTCTAGATAACACACCTGTACAAATTTAGAGCCCGCAAGTGTACTTAACTAAAATATATACACTCTTGTTCATATCAATATATCTATTAATTATTTTATTATAATTATAAAGACAACTCGAAAAGGAAACAACGTATTTGCTATGAAGGCTTGAAAATTACCATATTAATCGAAAAAAATCTAAGCCATCATTAGATCGTAGCGAGACATAAGTAGACACTATTATAACTACATAAAAACAAAAGAAAAAAAATGAACATTAAATTTAATCATACTTTCAATATCTAATTATACTTTTATATGTAAGAGTTGCATAACAAATTCAATTCAATAAATTTGTGCGCCGCAGTTTTTATTTAAGTTTCGCTCACGATTAGGCGGACCAGCGAGGGCGTGAAAAGCTACGAGAAGGAAAAAAAAAAGAGCTACTAGTAGTACTAATAAATCAAAGAGATGATGGCATAATTAAGCAGCGTGAGCTGTGACGTGAGCTGCTCTGAATCTCTGATTTTATCATAAACCACAATCCCGGGCCCACCCGTCATGGACCATCAAATAACCGATCTCCCTGGCCCATGGGCCCCGCCCTCCCAGCACGGCACAACCCCCCCTCCTCCCACGGCCAGCACAACTCCCCCATCGCCCATCGTACTCACCACCCTCACACCCCCCCCCCCCCCCGGGCCTCGCCTCCCCTCGCTCTAATCTTCTTCCCCTCAACCCGCTCCAAAATTCCCCCGCCTCCCACTCCAAAACCCAAAAAAATCCCGCGCGGCCGCGTGAAGCCGTGAATCTACTCCTCCCTTCCTCCGCGCCCGCGCGTCGCCATGAATCCGCAGGCGGAGGGCGATGCGGCGGCGGCGGCGGCGGTGCTGGGGGCGGACCCGGCGGGGCTGACGGCGCTGCTGGGGGACCTGACGTCGCCGGCGAACGAGGCGAGGTCGAGGGCGGAGGGGATGTTCCACGCGCTCAGGGCGTCCCACCCGGACGCGCTCGCGCTCCGCCTCGCGCACCTGCTGCTCTCCCCGGCGCACCCCTCCGCGCCCATGGCGGCCGTGCTCCTGCGCCGCCTCATCTCCCCGGGGTCGCAGGCGTTCGTCTACCCGGGGCTCTCCCCCGCCACGCAGTCCTCGCTCCGCGCGCTCCTCCTCTCCGCGGCGTCCGCGACGGGGCTCTCCAAGTCCATCTCGAAGAAGCTCTCCGACGCCGTCGCC